ATTTGGTGTGGAAGTATGGACAGATGAAAACAAAATAAAAGTGACTTTTTCAAAGTTAGACCAAGTTTTAGGCCAATTTATGGTATACAGAACAAGTGTACTAAATGCTCGATTTCCGGTAGATTGGGTACATCTATACATTAAACAAACTTACACAGATTTTCTTGCACAATCCTGGGGAACTGTGTGTAGTACGTTTTATGCTGGATCTGCAAGTGTTTTTCTAGATATGAATGTCCTCACACCTGCCACTTGGACTGCTCATGTATTGGGCCATAGTGTGGGAATGAACCATGATGCAGAATATTGCCAGTGTAAGGGTAGGCACAATTGCATCATGGGCACTGGACGAACTGGGTTTAGTAATTGTAGTTATGCTGAGTTTTTTGCACACGTCTATTCAGGAGCAAAGTGTCTAACTAATATCCCAGGACTAGGCTTTGTGGTTAAGAGATGTGGGAACAAAATTGTGGAAGAGGATGAGGAATGTGACTGCGGTTCAGGAGAGGACTGTAAAACAGACCAGTGTTGTCAACCAGATTGTAAATTCAAACAAGGTGCCAATTGTAGCACTGGACTTTGCTGTCATAACTGTCACTTTCGTCCATCTGGATACATGTGTCGGAAGGAGGAAAATGATTGTGACCTCGCAGAGTACTGCAGTGGGACCTCAGGACTCTGCCCAAGTGACACTTACAAGCAGGATGGAACCCCTTGCAAGTACGAAGCCCGTTGTGTCAAAAAGGGCTGCCAGGCCAGATATATGCAGTGTCAAAGCATTTTTGGACCTGATGCCAGGGAGGCTCCTCTTCAGTGCTATGATGTCCTTAATGTAATAGGTGACCAGTATGGGAACTGTGGTGCTTCAGGAGTCCGTGAATATCGGAAGTGTACCAGGAAAAATATATTATGTGGCAGGATACAGTGTATAAATGTCAACACCATCCCTGATATGCCAGATCATACTCTTCTAATTTCCACTCATCTGCAGGAGGAAAACCTCATGTGCTGGGGCATAGGCTACCATTTGTCCATGGTAGCTATGGGGATACCTGACCTGGGAGTGGTAAATGATGGGACCTCCTGTGGTACGGACAAGATATGTTTTAATAGAAATTGCGTGAATAGCTCAGTCCTGAAGTTTGACTGTTTGCCTGACAAGTGCAACCACCGAGGCGTTTGCAACAATAAGAAAAACTGCCACTGCATGTATGGCTGGGCCCCTCCCTTCTGTGAGGAGGTAGGGTATGGAGGAAGCATTGACAGTGGGCCACCAGGACCTCTAAAACAGGGGGTGCCCACCTCAATTCAGGTCGTGTCCCTTTCGTTAGTACGCCTTATTTTGTTAATTATCTCAGTGATTGTTGTGTTTTTCAGGAAAATCTTAGGAAACGTATAAACCCAAAGAGAAAGAAACACCACGAATTAACACTGGAGTAGAAAAATTCAAGGCAAAAAATGTCAAGAAACCAAAAAATAATCAGGCAATGCACAGTCACTCTGTAACCCAGGGTCATAAACTGAACGAGGTTCTCATTTATCCTAACAGCTCTTCCTTCTTCCCTCAATTC